CTCTTTCTCTGTCTCTCTCTGTCTCTGTCTGTCTCTGTCTCTCTCTCTCTCTCTCTCTCTCTCTCTCTCTCTCTCTCTCTGCTGTGCAGATAACTAACTCTGGGTCTTGGGCTTGCTGGGCAATTACTCTTCCATTAAGTTATACCCTCGACCTCACAATAGGTACAATACTTTGTCACGATGATCAACACTGAGACAACTACACAAGATTAGTTCACATTTGACACATCAATGCATTACGAATCTGAGAATTTATTTTTGTAGAGAATAAAATACTTTCTCCCCAACAAACTACTTTCTCTGTTGACAAATTCTGTCATCTATGGGTTAAGAGAGACAAAGCTCTCTTGAAGTTAGGCAAGAACCCCTGGGAAACAAGGTGTAGAAGGCAAGGAGACAGAGAGGTCCCTAAAGACAGACAGACAGACAGAAGACTGACAGCTGGGTAGATGGAGCGGGGCGGTTAAGTGATAGATTGACAGACAGACAGGCGACAGTAGATGCTAGAGGGTAACAGTAGGTAACAAGCTAGACTGACCATATGCAGGTGCTAGGGAAGTGGATGTCCGGATGGAGGTGTGGCCAACAGGAGTCAGACTGTGGGAGGCTGGAGGGGCGGATGAGAGAGTTTGAAACACACACAGAGGGAGGAGAAAGGACAAAACCAAGAGAAGATCAGGAGCCACCATGCTGGAAAAACACCTCATAGGAGCTGTCTCTGAGCAAGGCCTTGCTCTGTGACCTTGTAGAAGTTATCAGAACACTGTTCATCCACTTGAAAGCAGAGAGTCCATGGTGCTGGGGAGGATGGGTTTCCCACAGACACATGGCTTATTGTGCTCAGTTGTTCAGTCTTGGAACAGGTTCCTCCCCAAGCAATGTTAATAAGGAACACATTATCCTTGCTATTTGAAATTCTTACTGAATTAGTAATATGATCATAATCTATCACAAGAACAGACTTTCCAATTGCAGTGTTTGTATCCATACATTTTCCTGGCGACCCAACTAGAGACACTTGACCCCTGCTGAAAGCAGCATTAATATTGCACATCAACCTCGCACCTGACAGTGGTCTGTTTTCCTCTTTCCGCTGCCATGGTCATATTTATAGGTGACCGTGGTCACTTGTGAATTAGAAAATGAAAGAGCAGAGAACCCCGAGGCACGGTGGTTTCCCAACATGGTAACTGGTCTGGATGTGTTCAGGGCCCTGCTGCGAGCCTTGACCACCCCTCAGTGCTTGGGGTGGCGACGCGGATCCGTGATGGTCACCGGGGGCGCAGAGCTGCCGTGAGCACGTGGCTACTCCACAGATCTCTGAGAGGCCAAGGTGTCAGCGTCCTGCGGGGCTCAGGCTCCATTGTGGGCAGGCCAGCACCTACACCGTGCTATGGATGCCGGACACCGAGGACACAGGGGAGGCTCGGTCCTGAGCAAAGCTCCTCCCATTTGCCAGAAAAACGCCTTTCTATAAATACATAGAATATTATCATTTAACAAAGTTGCAGTCCTATCTCAGGGACCACAGGGCAGGCCACAAGAAGAGTCTGACAGATGTGTGCCCCACATGAAGGCCATGGTGACATTTAGCCCCCAGGGTCCCTCTGCCTGGGCCTATCCTTGCCACCTGTACCCCAGCTCTCTGTGCAGTGTCCCCAGTGGATTGCGAGAACAGGGTCGCCTCCTTTTCAGCTCTGGCCTGGGACACTCAGGACAGGCCACTATGCCACTGGGCACCTCAGGGTTTGAGCCCTGCTTTCTTCAGTGGCACTGAAGGAGCCCTGTCCTGGGACCTCTGCACATCTGCTCTTCCGGGCCACCCTGAGAGGCAGGGGCAATGCTAGACTCCATGTCTTCGAACTCAGGTGAGCATCTGGACTGATTCAAAACAGTCATAGAACTTAGCATGCCACGTAAAGATTTGTTAATGAAGATGTATGAATGTGTTCACTTTTTGTACCTCAAACCAGAATCACAGAGCTCTGAGGAAGAGGATGCTTGGTGTAGACTTTGCGGCTATTTAAACGGGACCTGAATTTGTTACACTTTGTGTTTCTTTGTCCATTCTCTGGACTTGGTGTTGCAAAGTTGGTCTGAGAAAACGACACTTATCTACTTATCAGCTTCCTATTAGATTATCCATCACGCCAAAACTTTTGCATACCTATGAGCAAGACTTTGTGAGCCTTGAGGCGTTTTAAAGTAAAATACTTCTAAAACTATGTAGGAGACATACCCCAGTCTTTCGGAGACCTGTCAGTGGCTCCTCATGTAACACTGTTCTGACTTTGTGCCCATTCTGACACTTTAGCTTCTGAGAATATTAAAACTTCTGAGTGTTAATATCCTGCATGATTTGCCTGTATATTTCTCTGTCACAGCTTCTGTCCCTTCATTCCTCATTCATTCAAGTTTGCAAGCCAAGTGAATGTTATCAGATGTCCTCGAAGGCAGACAGGACTTTGCACAAACTGTCAGTTCCTAAAGCATATTTTCAGTTCCCTGCTACCAACATCCAGACTCCAGGCTGCATATCAATGGGGCATCACACTGACAGGGCCAGGCACTGACCAACTGTCCCTCTACACTGACTTTCCTTAGGGCAGAACCTGGTGCGGGGCTAAGTTCAGCCCCTTACACTCAGTGCGTGTGGCTATAATTACAGAAGTGTGCAAATAAAGGTGGGTGGGCTTGGAAGATGAACAGTGCCACTCTTGCCGGCCCACACTGGAAGTGGATGCCAGTGTCCGAGACAGCTGCTGTTTCTATTCCGTTGTCCATGCCATAATTCCCACGTCATAAGTCCCTCGGCTGCAGGGACACAGACTGACCAGACCTTGCAGCAAGACAGTATGCGGTAGAGTCAAGAGTAAAGAGGAAATGGTGACTATGGTGAATTTAAATACATTCGTATTATCTCTGCTTTTTGTCATTTTGCTAACAGGACTTGGAAGGAAAGATTTGAGAGAACCTTATACACCAAGGATAACGTGTATGTGCTGTTTTATACAAACATAGCATTTTGATGCAGTATTTTTCACAAATTTGATGTAGCATTTGATGCAGTATTTCCACTAATTCAGTGTAGTATTTTCACTAATTATTCATTATCATTTTTACCATATTATTTTCTGATATTTGAGAGGTCGTGGTAAAATATTCCTTTGCAATATATAATAAACATTAATTAACTGCATATGCCAAATACAGGTTATTTTTGAGAATAGTCATTGGTGACTAGAAAAATAAGCCATATAATTTATTTATTCAGTGCTGTCTTGCTATGAGAACCAGTGTTTGGACACTAGTGCAAAAGTCAGAATTTATAAGCCAGCGCACTAACCTTATGTTCTTGCAGTGTCTTTCCCACATACTTAAACTTTTAAACCACACTGACTCCTTCTAATGCCCAGGTTAAGTCTCATAAAGAGTTTTAGAAAACACAACTCACATATTATTCATAGTTTGGGTGAGAGTCTTATAGAAAGAGAGCCCCAAAGCAGAAACACATATGACACAGTTCTCCAAAGAAAGTCTGACCAAAAGATGTCAAGGCAGGATAAATCGTGAATCAGAAAGTCTTGTTTTTCTCTTGTTGTTTACTAAGACACCAGAGTGGGAGGCTGTCTATACTGAGTCCAGCCACACTGGAAGCAGCCCGGGTCATCAGAGCAGTGGTCACAGGAGGCGGAGCTGTGGCAGGGCACATATGGAAGGCCAGGCATGTCCCACGGAGTGGCTGAGTCCCCAGATGGAGAAATCAGCATTGTCTAATGGCTCCTGCTGGTGCAGCCGAGGGCACAGTGACACACAGGGAGGACGGAGTAGGGGCTCAAAGTCATGAGGCTTCTCCCACTCCAAACCAACAGATGAAATTCCATCTGCCTGTGTGGGCCGCCAGATGGCCTGGAGATACCACACAGTGGACTGGCTGACATCAGCTCTACAGATTACTTGCGTTGTAGCCACTAGTGTTATGAGAATGCCTCATCTCCACTTTCAGGCCATTTGCTAGGAACGCAGTGTATTTTTAATCAGTCATAATGTACTGCCCATCACTGATCATCAGGGAAAGTCAAATTAAGCCCCGATGAGAGAGCATCTCATATCTGTTAGGATGATTATTATCAAAAGAAAACAATGCCCTGTGTCATTGGGATTTTGTTCACGAAGTCTTTGCCTACACTTTGTCTTCTAGAATTTTCCTTATTTTATATTCTAGCAGATTAAGTGTTTCTGTTTTCATACTTA